AGTCAATTACATGGGGTTAAGGGTCTTGATCAAGGGCTCAGTGGTGAAATTCATCTGCTGACACTGGGATTTGAACCGGTAACAGAGTCCTAACCTGCTGAGCCACACACCATTAGAGATGTAACCTCATGTCTTTTGGAGGGGTGGGATTTGAACCTCCCTTAAGCCGTGAGCAGTTTTTTTTTTTTTTTTTTTTTGAAGTATGGATTAAATTAAATGGGACAGCAGCTTTGTGGGAGTTGACACTCTTTTCTCCCTCCTGCAGACTACAAAAGGACAAGCCTGGCAAAGTACGTGAAGCTGTTCGACCAGTTTGTGGAGGAAATGGAGCAGTGTCGCAAGGGGGAGCTGCTGAGGAAGAGTGGTGAGTCAGAGCTAGTCCTGGGGTCGTCAGCCTGTCCCTACACGGACAAGCCTCCCCCTGGTGAGTCAGAGCTAGTCCTGGGGTCGTCAGCCTGTCCCTACACGGACAAGCCTCCTCTTGGCAAGACTCCTCTGTGTTGATGCAAAGTGATTTGGGGGGGAAGCTGCATTTTTTTTTTAATACCTTGTCTGTAGTAAACTTGTGATGGCTCAAAATGTCTGTCGGAATTGGCCATGGTATTGAATCCTGCTAGGTGCTAATTAGTGGTGGAATAGACTTGTGCTGTGTTGGGTCTGACCGGTGATTTCCACAAATACAGATCTCCAAAAGGACTTTTAGACGGTGAGCTGAAGATTACGGAAGACGGAGATGGAAGGAGGGGAGTTCTGTTTTACACGTTATGTAGGCTTGTGAGCGCCGTCTTTGCCTGCGCCTCTCCAAACTTCGGTAATAACTCTGGAATGGCCAAGAGATTTGGCCTATTGCAAAAAGATAGTTAGGGAGCCTGGAGCATTTCTACAGGACAGGTGTTCTGAAAGTTTGGTAATTGTAATGTCATTGACATTTCCTGCAGTTGCACAAGACATGACCTATAAATCGCTTGCTTGGCTACAATAAGGAAAGAAATGAATGATTTCAAACGTAAGTGACCTACTCGCTGCCATACCATGCCTTAAGTGACCGGAAGCTGGCTGTGAAGTTTGAAAGGGAAGACCAGTAGGCACCGCAGTTCCAGACTGTGTAAGAATTTATCTGATAACTATCAAATGTAAGGGGGCCTTTCTGAATGGCCTTTTTAAACTGAGGTTCTTTGATAGCCACATTTAAACTATTTTTTTGGATGGATGATGTGTGGAGTTCAGAAATGTAGAAAGCTAAAGAGAGAACAGTTTTTTACATTCCCAATAAAAGTATATTCAGTATTGGTTGATTCTTTGTTTGGATTCCTATTCCATCCAGTTGTTTCCAGTAACTGGGTGGTGTAGTGGCACAGGGACTGTCTGTTGCCTTTATATGTCTAGGGTTGGGTGTTCAAATCCTGCTTTCCCCTGCCTAAGCACATGAAGTTAGTTGAATTATTGTTTTCATCACCTGTGTGTGTGTGTCTCTCTCTCTGCTGCTTGTTCACTCACAGTCATCCAGTAGCTATCCTGATGGACCTGGAACGTTGCCCAGCCAACAGATGGCCACTGTACTCTAACACTAGTATATATGGTTATGAAATCACCTATATGGCCTGTCTCATGTTAAATGTCTCTGCACTGCCTGAAAAGTGCTGGAGGTCAACTCTGCAGCAAAAAAAAATAATAATAAAATTGATCTGTGGAAGCCCAGGCCAGCAGGTCCTGCTACCTCTCCTGCTGTGATTTAAGTGCATGCTGTGTGTGGTGCCAGCTTTCATCTCCTTTTAATTACATGGAAGCACTGGTTATATATTTACACATAAATCTGAAGGTACTACCTTGGAAATAACACCTGGCCCATGGTCGTGGTGGTGGTGGTTGTAACAAACGCACACATGGGGTGAGAGTTTTAAAGGGATGGTGAGTAGGAGCCCATGAATCTCCAGCTTATCATGGTGGAGAGATTTGCGTGCCTCTGTGTTCCTAGGAGTTATGTTGTCAGAGGCATTTGCCATTGGCAGAGTCTCCCATGGCAAGTTGGTCCTAGGTGAGTGGCCAGACTAGGGTACTTTTTTGGTACTTTTGTTGTAATGCACATGGGGTGTTAATAAAGCAAAGAATTCTCTCAAACCCATAGGAGAAGATGATTATGATTGCTTCAGAGAACACATGCAGCTCTCACGCAAATGCAGCAGAGGTAAACTCAAAAACTGATCTTAATCTAGCTCACTAGAAATGTGAGAATTGCGTGTGCATGATATGCGATGGTGGTATTAACCCCTCTGGTGAGAAAGGAGCCTAAGCTGGTCCGGAAGGTAGAGAGATATCAATTAGATATAATTGGGCTCATCTCAATGCACAGCTTAGGCTCTGGAACCAAACTCCTGGAGAGGGGCTAGACTCAATTCCACTCTGGAGTTGACCTTGGTGAGAGGCGCCAAGCTATTTATAGCCCCCTGGTTCATTGCCAGTACATTGGAGTTCACCTTGGTGAATGAGAGGGTCGCCTCCCTTCGACTTTGTGTTAGGAGATGGGCTCTGACTGTGGTCTGTGTGTACGCGCCGAACACCAGTTCAGAGTATCCGGCCTTCTTGGAAACCTTGGAAGGGGTGCTGGAAGGGGCCCCTTCTGGGGACTCCATTGTACTGCTAGAGGACTTTTATGCTCACATGGGTAATGACAGTGAAACCTGGAAGGGTGTGCTTGGGAGGAGTGGCCTGCCCAATTGGAATCCGAATGGTGATCGGTTATTTGTCCATAACCAATACCATGTTCGAACATAAGGTCGTTCATAAGTGGACATAGCATGAGAGCACACAGTTCAATGATCGATTTTGTAATCATATCATTGGATCTGCATCCACATGTTTTGGACACTTGGGTGAAGAGAGGAGCTGAGCTGTCAACTGATCACCACCTGGTGGTGAGTTGGATCCGATGGCGGGGAAAGATGCCAGATAGACTTGGTAGACCCAAAAGCAAAGTGAGGTGTGCTGGGAACATCTGGCAGAGGCCCCTATCTGGGAGACCTTTGACTCACACCTTTGGCAGAACTTCTCTTGCATCCTAAGGGAGTCAGGGGACAAAGAGCCTGAATGGGCTATGATGCAGGACTCCATTGCCGAGCTTCGGTAGCTTGTGGGAATCCTGAAGTAGCTGGCAGGTACCGACAGGCCAAGTGGAAAGCGACTTTGGCAGTTGCTGAAGCAAAAACTCGAAGGTGGGAGGAAATTGGTAAGCCCATGGAAAAGGGCTTTCAGTCGGTCTCAAAGATTCTGGCAAACTATCAGGCAACTGAGGAGGGGGAAGCAGGGCTGGAGAACCTTTCACTTCAAACACGGATATAGTCAGGTGGTGGAAGGAGTATTTCGACGACCTCCTGAATCACACTGATATGCCTTCCTTGGAGGAAGTAGAGCTGGAGGACTCAGAGGAGTACTTACCCATCATGGAGTTTGAGGTCACTGAAGCAGTCAAAAAACTCTTCGGTGGTAGGGCTCCAGGGGTGGATTAGATTTGCCCTGAGTTCTTGAAAGCACTTGATGTTGTTAAGGTGCCTTGGCTGACATACCTCTTCAACATTGTGTGGACGTTGGGGACAGTGCCTTTGGATTGGCAGACTGGGGTGGTGGGCCCAAATTTTAAGACAGGGGACCAGAGGATGTGTTCCAACTTCAGGGGGACTGCTCGTTAAAAAAGGCAGATGACCACCTGTCAGGGGTGCTTCAGCAGCATGGAGTATGGGGTCTGCTGTTGTGGGCTGGCAGGTCCCTATATATACCTAGTGGGAGTTGGGTTTGCATTGCCAGCAGTAAGTCAGACTCATTCCCGGTGGGTGTTGGACTCCGTCAGGGCTGCCCTTTGTCAATGATTCTGTTTATAACATTTATGGACAGAATTTCTAGGTGTAGTCAAGGGGTGGAGGGGTCAGGTTTGCACTAGGAATATATCTTATTTATAAAAATTGCAAATTATTTTTCATGTATTGCTTCAATTGGGACATAAGGTTCTACACCAGCTGTAATATACCAGTTAATTCACCAGCTGATCTGTAAGTCGTCTGCAGTCTAATCTTGGCAACTGCCATTTACTACAAAGTTCGTAATAACCAACGCACGCACTATTTTGTGACGCTTGTGAAAACATTGTGTGGCTTCAGTGGTTAGTCGAATCGAGGTATATTACAGTACTGCATATAATAACTTTTATCACTACCGTGTAATTACTAAGATTAATATGTGCTGTATTATTATTTCCCCGATTTACCGACAAATTCTTAAAGGCAGACTTCTTAAAGGAACAGATTTTGTTCCTAACCTGGAGACTACATTACAATGTAGTGCCACACTACTAACCTGTTTATCCTTCCGTACTTGATCTTACTTCTAATGAAAGCCATATGTGAAGATTACTTTAGGCTTAAAAAAAAAAGTTATCAAGAGTTACAGTGTTCAATCATTAGTTTACTCAAAGCCCGGGAAATACTGTAGTTTTCCTGGTCACTTAGAGGAATTTAGGACAAGCTCTCTCTCTCTCCTTCCCTTGTATTGCTATGGCAAGCCTTTGTGTCCTCTTTGACGTTCGACGACGTCCTACATACTGTAATCTATAGCTCAGCTGCCTAATGTTTGTTTGGCTAATGGTTTTAAAACCAATAAACAAAATTAATGGGTAAACAAGTTGTAAAAAATGGTATGCCGTAATATTTGAGAGCTATCTAATGATTTGTAGCAGCCATATATAGCTGTTTTTTTATAGTCATGTTTCTAAGATTCCTGGATAGAATATTCCGAATAAATGTACATCTTCATAAAATAGTTTCAACTTTATTTATTTATTTCGTTAATAGCACAAGGAAACGTTGAATTCATATATCGGGATGTGTATGAACATGTTTTACATAATTGCAGAAGCCCGCTAACACACACGTCTGGAACACTGAAGAAAATAACACAAAGGAAAGAACACTGAAGCAACAACCAACCCGCGAATGAACATCGCATGTATGAAGCGATACCCTGTGATGTACCGCCTATCCAACCGGGCGTCACTATTGCCATGCGCCATGTGGAATACGCCGGTGAACCGGAAGCACTATGCAGCTCGGGGTGAAATCCTCTTTTCAAGCCGCCTGGGATCTTGAACTCTCGCGGAAGTAAGCGATTTGATTGTGAATATTTTTAGTTCTTAATTCTTCACAGCGTTTCCCTGGTGTTTTAGTAGAATAACTAGCTGGTTACCTGTTTTGTGCGTTTTGACAATATTTTCTTTGGTTAGAGAGTACAACATTATACACGGTTCGCTGTTATTGCTAGCGGTCGTTCTCCTGATGCTTTCTGATGTGATTTTTTGTGATGTTTTTTCACCACCGTATAGTATAATGCGAAGATATTAACTCACGTAGAAATGTTAAAATTCTTGAGTTAAACCGAAAATAATCTTGGTCATTGGATCATCAACCTTAGCTTAGTAGTGTGCTGCTGAAACGTACGAATCTAAACTATCGAGCTATCTTAGCCTTTGCAAACGGATGTTTCTATGTCTGTAAAGTCTATATATTGGAGTTTTACAAGACTTTCAGCCATGTGGAGGGTTCTGTACGTGTCTGTTGATGAAAGTGTAATTCATCCTTAGCAAAGTACATTTTTGCTGCTGAGAGATTTGTATACTCTTAATCTGACAAGTAACCCAAACCTCCCATAGACAGGTATGCCCAGCCAAGCCACAGACACGGTACCGGCCACGGAACGGGAGATGCAACAGACTCAAGTGGAAACCGGTTAGTATGTCCCTGCATGCCGAAATCGCTCTGCTTGATCTAGACCAAGTGCAAAATGTTAGTCCATTACAGTACAACGAGTCGACTCGCGAATAAATGTCAATAAGGAAAGTAATTGGAAACCCCTCATTCCGCAACATAATGAAGAGTACTTAATCTTTTGTACGAATGCGCAACTTAAAATGATCTACTTGTTCAGTATTCGGTTTAACGGCAAAACTAATTGATTTTACGTATAGATGTAGCTAGCGCCACCTTCTGGTCATAATGATTGCGCCCAAGATTTTGTTCATTTTCTTCTTTATTTATTATGTGCCTATTCATGTCCATGAAAGGTCAATATTACTCTTCACCTAGTAAACTATGTTTTCCGAATTTGCGCTTAGCCCGTGAAATGGACGGAGTTAACTTTGGTGCCAAGTCGAAGGGCTTACCTAGACGGACGGACTGACATATCGTTTGTCTCGGTGCACCTTACGGATCGCGTGCAATTCCGTTTCAAATTCGGGAAAAAAAAATTATTTATTTATTTTCCGTGATTTTCGGCAATTAATGCGGGTCGCCAGGCAATCTATACATCAAAAGTGAGTCCTTGATGGTGTGAGGTGTGCTATTACTTTTCTTCGCAGATCGCGTTACCATGGCGATGTTATTCACGGTCAAACACACTAAAATTCCCATAAGAATGCATTGAATGCTAACTTTTACCTAGCATTAGCCTATATCTAACTAACCATGTGAAGAGTAATATGGATCGATCTTTTTCATTGCAATGAATAGCCCATTCACTTCAATGCATTTCAATCAAAGTTTTTCCACTCGGTCAGTGTTCATGCCACAGACTCGGTATTTAACCTCAGGCCTCATCACCCAACATCTTATGACCACCATCTTGACCCGCACTTGTCTTTCATCCCTCGTTCTCTCCCATTGACTTCAATGCATTTCAGTCAAAGTTTTCCTACTCGGCCAGTCTTCATGCCACAGCTACAAGAGTAAATAATTAAATCAATAAGTAAATGCACCAGCTCTTCCACGGTCAGCAGAATAGACCCATCTCAAAATTTCTTCAGGAATTTTCATTCTAGTTGTTCTTGTTACTTGAAAATGGGATTAGCTGAAAGGAGGAGACGTCATGTTTCACTTTTTTACTTTTATTGATGAAACATCCTTTTTATCATTTGATTATTTGTTTGCCCCTTAGATCTTCCCTTAATCTTATCTGCTTCAGCTCTTCCTTCCTCTGCTTCCAGGAACATGTGCTTGTAGATTAAGAGACTTTATCGGTACCTGGGGGAAATTCTGGAACTATACCTCTGCTCTAATGAAAGCAAAAGAAGTTATTCCCCCTTTCCACATAACTGGTGCTGTTTTGAAAGCTTGTTTTATCTCTGCCAGTCTACTGCTTTGACCCAGATGTGGACAGGTCAGCTGGTTTTGCTGCATCTGCTTCGTTTTTAGCCCCAGATACAACCCTTTTGTTTCTTGCCAGGTGAATTAGTGTATATCTGTCTGGGGTGCATCTCCAGATAGCTTAGACTGGGAAATGCAAAGAATGACTAATTCCCAATCAAGCACTACAGGTTCATTATTGCCTACTGCTTCTTCTGGAGTGTCCCTGCACACACATCATTCTTACTGATGACGTGTCACCCTGCCCGGGATAGAGCATCAGGGGCAGGTGCTCTATCCCTTTAAGTTGGTGCCTTTTAATCACTGCAGACTTCAACCAAGAGAGGAGACTTTCATCTCACTGTATGCTAGATATAAAGCTAGCTGATAATTACTCGATCTGCTCTTGCTGGCATCCCTGCCTTGGCTAACGTTCTGCTGGTGCACCTGAGCACACGTGCACATCTCCAGAAGCTTATGAAATCCTGCTGCTCCTGTTGTCCTGTCTGTCATCATCTGCTGTAATCTTTGCTTCTCCTGAGTGTGCTCCTGAAATGCCCCAAGGACCTGGTCTCCTTCCTTCCTGTTCCTGTCATCCACTGTCTGATTTGCGTGTCCTCCTACATCCTTTTCAGTCTTTCTTTATGAACTGTGTTGTTTTGGGACGTACACACTTCAGATAAGTAATGATATCTCAGGAACAACTCAAAACCCAAAGACCAAATTTTCTAAAGATGTTCATGACATCATTATGATCTAGCTTTAGGAAAAAATTGATGAATTTTGAAATATAGGGTTTTTTGTTATTAATTTAATATTTTAATCGGTTATTACATAGTCATTATTCATATGGAGATGGCATATTATTTGTCCAATCTATAGGGCTGGACAATAGCTTTAAAACAATATAAGGACCACTTCTGTGCAGCTTACATTAAGGTAAATATAGGCAGTTAAAATCATAGCCTCCCCCCCACCCCCCAAAAAAAAAGTCAAAACTTTGTTAGTTAAACCTCCCTCAATATTGATCCCAGACATGCCCAATTTCAGTTTCATGAGTTACTCATGTGACCAAATCAGTTAAGTTTCGTTAAAATCTGTGACGATGATGTCACAAAATTGAGTGGCTGTATTAGTGTTCAGCCTTAATGCTGCAAAAACGCGTCTAAAATGGGAGAGCTGTCGTGCGATTGTGCAAATAGCTCCTATTTTGGGTTAAATTTATCTTTTTAGAGACTACCAAAAACTAAACAAGTATTAGACATGGAGACCCCTAAAGGCTCCCATGTAACCTACAAAGCAGTCGTATCTGATAGTGATGTATGTCCTTATGATAGTAATAAATGAACTTTAGCTCAAAGTTCAGGCACTCCCATTATCCCTGTGCTTTTCTGGTACAGGGTTATGGGGATTCTGGAACCTGTCCCAGCAATACACAGGGCACATGGCAGGGGAACACCTAAGACAAGATGCCGGTCCATTTCAGAGCCTACACACATCTGCACTCTCATTCTATGAGAGATTTAGAGATGCCAGTTTGATCAGCAGCATGTTTTTGGACTACGGGAGGAGACTGAGGAAACCTGTCCACACACAGGGACTTAGTCATGGCCAACCATATTGGCACCAGTGCATTCTCTTCAGAAAATGCATTGTTTCTTCCAGAAAACTGTTGCAATTTCAAATGCTCTGGTATCGACTTGTTTCTTTTGTTTGCACTGGCACAGCACAAAAAGGCTGTGGGGGGGAAAAAAGCTAAATCCCCACAGAATTCCAGAAATGGATTAGACAAAATTATTCATACCTTTTCCAAAATTGTAAGAAATAATTGGATTTGACTCATGTGATGTGACTTTTTAAACTCACCTGTGGCAAGTAACAGGTCAGTCAGGCTGGGGAGCATGTGCTGATGCAGTGCATTGCTGCACCCACCACATGATGAAACACCTTGGGATGCTGACTGGCGAACCCCCCCAGGCAGACACACGGTCCAGTTCCACCCTCCACTCACCTTGGTCCATCCGCTCAGGTCCTCAGCAACACGATGCCTGTTTCCCTCAGGGAAACATGCCACATGGCTGTAGTGCCGTAACTGATGCTCCCTCACAATGCAGGTAATGTACCTCATTTGGAACTCCCCTAGCAATGCTTGCATCAAACCAGTGGTACCCAGAGGTTCTTCAAAGAGAAACAGTACCGAAGGAGTCCAGTCTTCGTCTCAGTTCCCTGGATAGAGTCCGTGTCTCACAACCATACAGCAAGACAGGACTCTAAAGACTTAGACCTTAGTCCTCTTGTAAAGATCGGGAGCGCCACACACCCTTTTCCAGCGACCTCATTACCCCCCCATGCTCTCCAAATCTGTCTGCTGACTTCATAGAAACAGTCACCAGAGAGATGAATGTCGCTGCCGAAGTAAGTGAATCTCTCGACAAGGTCGACATTCTCCCCTCAGATAGACACTGTTGATGACTGTGTCTAAGAAGTCATTTAAAGGCCTGGATCTTGGTTTTTATCCAGGACACTCACAATCCCAGACACTCAGACTCCTCATTCAGTCTCTTGAGATCCCCAATCAGAGCCTCCATCGACTCCTCAAAGATCACTGCATCACTGGCAAAGTCTAGATCAGCAAGTCTTTCCTCACCAACTGCTGGACCCGACGATCCTGCCCACCACCCAGTCAATGCAAGCATTGAACAGAGTAGGAGCAAGAACGGACCCCTGGCAAACCCCACAATCAACTGGGAAGAAAGTGGAGGTTCTCCATCCACTCTGCACAGCACTCACGGTCCCAGTGTACAGGCCAGCCATGACATCCAGCAACCTCGGGGGGGATTCTGCAAAGTCTCAGGACGTCCTACAGGCCAACTCGATCAACTCCAAGTCAAATGCTTTATGGAAATCAACAACGGCTGCATGTAACCTCTGCCAATATTCATGCTTGCGCTCGGTGAGAACCCTCAGTGCCAGGATGTGGTCCATGATATACTACTTAGGAGTAAAACCAGACTGTTCCGGTCGCTGGTAGGTGATCAAGTGATTACGGATCCTGTTAAGGATGACCCTAGCAAGGACATTACCTGGCACTGAGAGTAATGTTATCCCCCTGTAGATTCCACAATCTAATCGATCACCCTTCCCTTTCCAGATAGGGACTACAAGCGCCGTTTTCTAGTCAGTTCGGGATGACATCTAACTCCCAAATGAAAGCAAAGATTACCTGCATTGCCAGGAGGACAGCCTTGCCACCAGCCTGGAAAAGTCAACCCCGGATACCACAGATCCCTGTGCCCTTCCCTACCCCCAGCTGATTCACCACCCGTGCAACCTCACAGCTGATTGGAGGATCAGCCTCAAGAACCATGAACCCAGAGATGTCGGAGCTGGAGGATCAGCTTTAAACAACTGTTCAAAGGTTACAACTGCAGTTTCATTCCATCACCCGCCCTGACTGCAAGTCTCCAAGGAACAGATTCAGATGTACGTAATTCCTCCGTAAGCAGGACGATCACAGATGGTGAGTCACCTGCTCACAGATTCGTCTAACAGATGCCTCCTTATCTGCCCTCAGAGCCCTCACAGCCATCCTTCTCAGTTCCTGGTACAGACTGGAGTTACACCAAACCTGTGCTGCAACTCTTCTCGATAATATCCAGGGCACTCATTAGAAACGGCCTGATCTTGGAGTCTGGCCAAGTCCAGCCTGATTCTGCTTGTAGGTGGTGGCCTACTGGACCTAAGCTGAGTCTTTAGAGTAGCAGAAACAAGTCAGTGATCAGAAGTCACAAACTGGGCACTTCTGTAGACCCTGCAGTTCAAGAGCCTCCAGTGTCTGCACACAAGGATGTGATCGATCGATCTTCATAATACTCCAATATACAATGATGTGGCTCGGGGCGTAGTCCTGGCAGCCTTGGAGGAGTTGAGGTTTAGGGTCTTACTAAGGCTACCAAGACCTCAGGACCCGCAGCCGCTGGCCTTTCACAAAGTTGAGGAACATGAAGCCACTCTCACCCCGGTCTCCAGACCCATGGGGACCGACACAATCCTCATGGCCAGCCCTGTCAGTGCCAGTGGTTTCATTATAGTCACCCATGACCAGAGGAGTGTCTCCTTGTGGGCACCCATCAACCATCTAGTGAAGTTGAGTAAAAGGTCTCCCTCAATGAGACATCACTCGCAGTGGTTGGAAACAACACACAAGACACCCAAGCAGCGCCTTAGCCTGAGCCTCATAATATACTTGTTGAAAAGTGTCATCAGACACCATCTGGAGGAGCTGACCTGCAACAGCTACTCCCTAAGTATGGCAGCGGTCAGAGTGACCAGACCAAAAGTAGGTGTATCCACCTACAGAGATATGGCCACTCCCCAGTCTGCATACCTCAGAGAGTGCTGCCACCAAAATGCAGAGTTCGCAAAGCTCCCCTGACAGCAGAGGAAGCGGAGTAAAATGGTGTCTTGCCAGTTTGGACCTAGTTGCCGTGAAATGTGCCAATCCCACCTGAGAGAGCTAGAGCAGTTGTCAAAAGAAGGGTGGTCCAAGATTCCAGTAGAGGTGTAAGAGACTAATTCATTATTTCAGGAATTGACTTATTTGTTATAGTTTCCAAAGGGTGTGCTGTCATATATTGAGTTTTGGGTGCCAATAATTTTGTCTGGTCTATTTTCTTGGGTTCTGTATGGAATGGTATCAGATTTGACTTTTTCCCCTCTCCTTTTTAGGAATGTTCCACTGCAAACGAAACAAATAAATAAATGTGAATACCCAATTATAGCAGTTTTCTGGTTTTCAGTTTTCAGTGGTGCATTTTCTGAAAGGAATACACAGGTGCAAGTATTTTTGACCATGACTGTTCTCTACACACACAGAGCAGGGGTGGGATTTGAACCCTGTCCCCCAGTCCAGGTGTGGGGCAACAATGTGACCCTAATCTTTCAAAACCTTCAGAATTACTCTGTAGATATCACAGTGACGTATTGTTAATATTAACATATTGAGTCCTGTGAACATCAATGATGACCTGAATAGAATGTGTTGGGTGCTCCACAGGCTCTGGCACAGAATCAGACAGCGATGATTCCATACCGGAACTGGAGGAACCGGACTCGACACAAACACGGACGCAGCAAGCGCAGGTGTGAACCTTTTACCCATTAGTGGCAGCGTCAGCTTCCATACCGTGTGTCACTGATCCTTACGCGTAAGAGTTCGTTCTCTGCATTGTTTTCAGCTTGCAGCAGCTGCAGAGATTGATGAGGAACCCGTTAGCAAAGCCAAGCAAAGCCGAAGTGAAAAGAAGGCGCGTAAGGTAGGACCTTCCGATCCTCAGCCATAAAGGAACCATAGTGTAACAATAGAATAGTAATGTTTCATTCTTCCCCATGTGGAAATCATGTTTTTGTCTATCTTATCTAGTCCTCCATGAGAGAGACAGACACACATACAGTGAGATGAGAATAAGTTTCCAGGTCACAGTATGTGGTCGGATTTTATCCGGGGCCCCTGGAGAATTTGGGATCAATGGCCCAACAATGGCATCACTCTGCCGACTGTCGGCTTAGAACTGGTCACCTTCTGATCCCAGGCACAGAGTTCTAACCCACATAGCCCACCCCCCCACCACCCAAACGTCCCCCGAGCATGCTCCGAATGACCTTTCCAATTTCACTCCAGGCAATGTCCAAACTGGGTCTGCGACAGGTGACGGGAATAACCAGGGTGACGATCCGGAAATCAAAGAACATCCTCTTTGTTATCACTAAGCCAGATGTTTACAAGAGTCCCGCGTCAGACACCTATATCGTTTTTGGGGAAGCCAAGGTAAGGATTTTGGAAAGTGTGTTTTTTTTGTTTTTGTTTTTTTTTAAATAACTTACACTAGCCATCACTAAAATTATCATTTAAAATGAAGTCACACTCTATTGATGTTTTAAAAAAAAAATTAAATCCTTAATTTTCCATTTGTACAAGTATGAATACAATTGCATTGGAATAATTCTCTTCATCCACCCCATCTACCATAGCTTGGGGGGGGGGGATCACAGAACAGGGTCAGACAACATGCGGCACCCCAGAAGCTGGGGGTTAAGAGCCATGCTCAGTTAATTCAAGACATGGACTTACTACTTCTGAACATCCATTTCTATACCTCATTGGCCAAATTTATCTCAGCAAGTGCAATTACGAATGTGCTAGATGAAATAGGTCATGCCTGTTAAGCACTGTTCCCTGATTTACACACATTGGTTTCCAAAACAACTGATCTTCTGAGTCCGCTGAGACCAACTTAACTTTTTGGTATATCAAGCAACATCACGCATGTCTTGACTGCCTGTTCCTGGTAGAACTTCCACCGTTTTATCATCAAAAGCTTTCAAGAATGTGAAATGGCCTTCGATCAAGGGCATCTCTCCCATGCCAAAAATGCAGCAGAAGTCAACCTTACATGCTGATTTATCTGCCTTCAGATCGAGGACCTTTCACAGCAGGCCCAGCTGGCTGCAGCGGAGAAGTTCAAGGTCCAAGGCGAAGCGGCCTCAAGTACCCAGGAGAAAACGCAGACACCCACCGTGCAGGAGGAGAGCGAGGAGGAGGAGGTGAGGACGTGAATGCTCAGTGAGGTCTGGATGTAAAATAAGAACCAGGAAACGGTAGTGTGTGTGTAAGAGAATCTTATTATGGGTCCCCATGTAATTCATAAGCCTCTGCAACCTGAATGTAGCTCAGCAGGTATAACATCTCTGCCTGTGTCTGTAAGGTCAGTGCCTTTAGCTCCTTGACTAAGACCCTAAACCTCAGCTCCTCCAAGGCTGCCAGATGTTGGCTCTTTGAGTGTAAATATGCTCTACTGCAGAGAAACGCTTGTCATCTGAGCTGAGGTCCTTTTGTTGTGAAATTTGTAAATGGAATTTTTAAAAAGGTTGTCCCTCCGGAGCAGCCTGCTCCCCCTGGCTGCTCCCCTGTTGGTTCTGTGGACCTCAGCACACTCTTTCTAAATTAGCTTTTTGCCACAGAGCATCCCCTTGATATGAACATGCACACGTACATATAAACAGACTGGCACTCATCTTTGTTGGGGCCGTTCGTTCATTTCTATGGGCAAAACCCTAATCCCAAGAATGACAAACTTAACCCCTACCCAGCCCTGACCTTAACCATACCCACACAAAATGCAAGTCTTTAAATTTTTTTTATTGTAGTCACAGATTTTTATAAAATGAATAGTCCCCATAATGTCCAAATAACAGGTTTTTATTACATATTGGGGATATTTGGTCCCCACAATGTAATGTATATCTGACCCCAAACACATTAGTGTTGACCTATCTGTATTGGAGAGCTTTGGTCCAGTGGGCCAACAGTCTATGATCCTTAAGAGCCACGTTTTCAGTCATGTTTTCTGCACAGGCACATGTTACTAATCAGGCACGGAGTGGGACTAATTTTCAGCCCAGGAGGTTTATGCCCAAGACCAGCCCATTTTGTCTCCGTTCTGGGGGAACTTATAATAAATAAATAAAACCACAATTCAAGTCTTATCCTGATAAATTAATTACTGATATTTCAAGAAGAAAAATAAATTATATACTGAACTATTCAAACAGTCAAATTTCTTCAGCCCTGCCTGGTCTCTTTCAAACATCCGCTGTCTGAGAGTCTTCCAGTGATTAGCAATAGCAAGTGATTAGTTGCACTATGTTCGAAGTGGGTGTGAGTGTGTGTGTGAGAGAGAGAGATCTCGCTGATTAACATTCAAAAGCATTGGAGAATTTTAATGTTTGTTTAAAAAATTGGTTTCTGACCGGCTCTAAATAACAAATTTAAAATTGTTTCTGATGTCACAACAGCTAAGCGGCCCCCCAGGAAATCTTCAGAGTCTCCTGATTGGCCACTGGACCAATCGCTAGTCCTGATGCTTAAAATGTGTGACTCAGGGATGCCTAATGGAGGTTTTTTGTCAAGCAATAAGTGGTAGCCTGAGAACCACCAGTTATTCCTGCCAGTACGATGAACACTTCGGTATTTAATTGAACATTTTGGCAGATATCTAGTAGATACAAGATTGAAGATTTGTCACATGCAGAGTTATACATGTACAACATGCACTGAAATATAACTCTGAATCACTCCTGAAACTGTGTTGGTTTAAATAAAAACTGATAGATAAATAACTAAAAAATAGCTTTAATCAAACATAGATAACAAATGAGCAGTATGTTTTCAAACATGTACTACAAATATGTAATGAAATATTTTCAATTTAAAGTGGCTTTGTGCTTTGTGGAACAGATGTGCAAATTCTTTGCATTCTGGTGAAGACATGTAGTACAGCCAGGACATTATAATAATGGTATGGAATAATGGTAAATTACAAGCAGAACATGAGTGAATTACTTCTGATTTGCACTATGACCAATGGGAAGGGTATTCAGCTCAGTGAATGACTCCACATATCATATAGACATTCAAATCATAGATCATGTGTAAACTGACCCAATATGGTCACTGATGCACATTTAATATTACCTGCCTGATATCCCTGGAACTGGTTTATCCTTGTGTGTCAAATCACATTTTAAATGAAGTTAGATCCATGCATTTGCAGACTGGTGATTTTCCAACCACATGAAATGCCTGCGTGTATAAATGTGAAACTTGTGTCTCGTAGGTTGATGAGACTGGGGTGGAAGTGAAGGACATTGAGCTGGTGATGTCTCAAGCTAATGTGTCTCGGGCAAAGGCTGTACGCGCCCTTAAAAACAACAACAATGACATTGTCAATGCCATCATGGTAAGCATGTACATGTAATCATGAATTTTTTATTGCATGTGTTATATTTATTGAATTATTGCATATGTACACTTTTTTTTTCCCCCTTTTACAGGAGCTGACTATGTAGACGCATCAACTTGAGTCATGGTGTTTCAAGAACTTGATGAATCTACACCACGTTTTTGTATTATTTATAACCTTGTGACTTCTGACCTCCCCATCTGGGTTTCTCTTATGGCAATTGCTCTGATTTTGTTTTTCACAAAAAAAAAAAAACAAAAAAAAACACTGCTCACATTAGTGTCCTTGGCTTAAAGTGAAAATGCACTCTGCAGTCACATCTGAAATCAACACATCCAAGAAGAATGTTCATGCCCCTATTTTCTTTAGCCTTTTTTCCTATTAATTGTGCTGTTGTATTTTATAATAGTCATGTCCAGTGTGCATTGACAGAATAAACACTGAATGTGTAACAGTTGTGAATTTTAAGATCAAATTTGATTTTGAATCTGAGTGTGGCAGTCCCACCTGCTAGATCCGGAGTGATTATTTTCATCTTGTTCTAGTATGAGGCACTGTGTTGCTTTATGGGTTAGGACTCTGTGTCTGTGATTGGAAGCTTGCTGGTTCAAATCCCAGGGATAGCAGAGTGACTTCACTATGGGGCTCTTATGTAAGGCCCTTAACCCTGATTGCTCCAGGGACTGGCTGACCTTGCTTTCTCAGTTTTATGTCTCTTGGGATACATGTTAGCTAAGTGTAATGTAAACAACTGAAATTCAGTCATTTACAATAAGTCAGATTGTGGGTAGAGTGATGTAATCCTCGTAATTTATTACCAACATATTTTTAACATGGAAATTATTTCCTTAATAGTTATTGCAGTACCAACATACTGGTGCTGGTCAAGTTCCTCATTTTCTAGCAAGATATGAACAATGAAGGAACAAACAGATTGTAATTGTCAAAAGGCAAATATCTAAAAGGAAATCCCTTAAGTAAGAATTTTATACAGTCCCCTGTTGTAACACATGAACAGTTACCATCTGTACAGAAAAACTAGCTTAGCAGATCTGGTTTTGCGGTCGTTGATGCTTTAACACACACCTAACAGATTTTTAAAGGTCTGTTTTTGTTTTGGTAAATATTTAGTTTCCAATAAAGCATTTGATTTTCCATGGCACAAAATCAAAGTGTGTTATTTTATCATATATAGGACTGATAAGTTAAAAATCAGAAGGTAATCATATGACTATTGGACCCTTGAGCAAGGCCTTTAACATTAACTGCTGACCCTGACTCCACAAAAAAAAGCTTAATTGTATGTAATTGTATGCTAAGCATGCAAATATAACATAGTATTACAAAAATTTGGTAGGGGCTACTAATGTGAAATGCAATTCAGTTTTTTGTTAATGGTTATATTACTGGTAAACATCAAGCAATTTGTATTATTAAACCTAGTAAGATCTAACAACAGATTTGTAGCTAAGCGCCGTAGTATGTAGGTCATATAAATCTGTAAGCTTTTAAAATATTTAAAGAATGATCAAGTTGGCAGAATTTTTTACATACATTTGCAAGATTCGATATCTTTCAGCAAGGAGGTCGAAAATGTAGATTGTACTTTTGTGTCCATTCGAACGTAATGTTTTCAGACATATAAATATACATAGAATTACATGGATTTCTAAAAAAAAAACAACTTCAGACTGCCAAACTGTTGTCTTCTGTATCACTAATACAGGGTCGCCAACTTTGGTTTTTGACGTGGGTGATTTTAGGCTGATGAAGGAATAATATAGATTTGCCGTAAGATTTCTTGCGTGAGCTTGAGAGTGAAAGCATGAGCGTCATGCCAGATGCGTGAGAGTTTGCGACCCTGCTAATCAAAATACAAGCTTGTGACAATTACAGCAGAACAGGGCGTAATTGAATATTGGCCGGTCGCCGAAGATAGTTGAATGAGCTAATCGAGAAAAGGAATCACATCACATAAACTGAGGTAATTCAACAATGCTGTGTTGCCAAATCGAATTACTAACATTTGGGAAATCCAATGAAATGCTTCACGAACAAGACTATTGGGTAAAACACAATACGATGTGGTTTCCCGGTGTTTAAAAGAATCAATCGCAACAACAGTAACAGGTTAGCAAGATCGCGCGAAAATGTCGGCATGGGCCTTGAATGTAGTTTCTGTAACAGAACTTTGCACCGTGTTGCCATGGAAATCACGCCGTCATGGGCGGGGCGCGCAAAGGTTCCACCTTCTGTATGTCAGAGCGGCCATAGTGGATGATCTAGAAACGTCTAGCGCTACCGCTGCGTCATTGCGCGAGACCGAGAAAAAGAAACGCGCGAGGAGTGTGGAGTCGCCTATATCGTTATTCGCCTTTCTCTCTCGTTTCTCTTAGTGTAGTGAAAGAGCGAGTCGAGCAAGGCAATCCACAGGGGCGATACTGCAGTTCAAGAAAAGATTAAATTAGTCTTCGAGATGTAAGTTGTGCGGAGTGTGGGCAACGATGGCACATTAAACAGTGGTTTCTCAGCCTTTAGCTCGATAGCATGCTAGCTCCTTATGGTATTGGGGTTATTCGTGATGTCTGTCATATACAGGTACACTCGTTCAGTGGTTGGCGGGAGCAGTGCAGGCTGTGAATTCGCGGTAGGCCTCGCTTCACAGTGCATTTAGGATACTGGTTTATTGTCCTTAGTTATAGCGTGTCGTATTCAGATCATTACTGGAAATCGGGTGGGTTTCAACGTGCGCTCCAGAATGTCTTTTAGCATGTGCTTAGCCATTGCATTTCTAAGAAAAAAACTCTTAATAGATAGCACCTTGCTTAGTAGTCTTTTATGGTTAGGTATCTTAAATATAAAATGTTCTTTTGAAATATATATATTCCCCCAGTGCAAGATAGAACGTGGGATGATTATAATCTAACTAGCTTCTTAGCTAGCTAACTGAAAGGAATGTTTACCATGTTGCTTCTTAGATGAATGTCAAAAAACTAGCTGAATTATTTTGATCAGCTAGATAACTGGTGTGTATATATATTTAACAAAAATAAAATGTAACAGGGCGACTAATAATTTAACTAGGCACTGTTGTAATTTAAAATCCAACATGGTAGGGTGGCTAACTACAAGGCCAAGGGCAGTTACGCTGTTAAGTGTAATATTGGGCAAACGATCCCTCCATTTATTTAGTAGTTTTATTAAGGCACGTTCCCTACGCTGTGAAATTCTGGGTAACTGGGTAGTCACATGGCTAGGGCCCGTTGCCGTGGTGACTCTGGAACGTTCTCTTAATACAGATAATCGGCGGCTCTATAATTCCAGATCACAGTAACCTTAGCTGGCGCTGTTTATGGGGGAAGCGCATAGCCGCGCGTTATTCACGCGCTAGAATTTCTACAGTTTCGGGTTTTGTGGGGAGCCCGTTATTTTTTGTGTTTGCACTTTCACTGACCACCAACCCTTAACATTTACGAAACGTTCCTCATTGATTTATAATGTTTCATTACAGTTTACTACCTCGCCACTCATGTCAGGTTCGTGCTAGCTGGTTTGGCTGTACTACGTATTTGCCCTGACAGGATTACAGTACCAGATAATTTTATAAATGATGCCATTTTGTAAACTTGGGCGTGTGCGTTCATTGGTCACTATACGTCTGGTAAGAAAAAATCCAGATATGCCAACCATTTTACAAGTTAAAAGCGCAATAATTTATGATAAACATACTGTGTTTTGGAAGAAAATAGTGTAATGGCGCATGTTTTTTGCGTGATACTTTTTGGAAAATGAGATCGACAGAGTTTTTAGGGTTTTACTGTAACGTGAAAAATGTACTTTTAGTGTATCAACTGGGTGTCTTTGATATTCCACCTAGAGGAGGACCTATCTGGTATTCAAGATGAAATGTAAAGATTCGGCGAAAACTATTTTTCTGTTAAATATTCACAGTAGTTTAAAAAAAAACATCCCTTAATGTGCAGGTGTTTAACCTTGCAACCCGGCTCTTAAGGCTATGTTGACCAATGCTATTCTGTATTGAACAGAAGAGGGCACCATTGTCACGTAAAGGTAGTATGAAATTAAAAGGGAGGAAGGAAGAACATGAATGAGATAATTGTTTACCCTCAGAAATCGGAGATTATAGTCTTCTGAAATTCCGTAAAACATGCTGTTCTGTAAATGTGCTCTGTGGTGATGTCAAAATACAAGTTTTCTTAATTCTCGTTTGGGCTCTGCATTTCAAAGCCTTACATCATGCTGATTTCTAATTCATTTATTTCTACTATCTCTAGGCAGCCTGCAACTGCAAAGTGGTATGATAGACGGGAGTATGTCTTCATTGAATTCTGTGTAGAGGACAGTAAAGATGTTAAAGTAAATTTTGAAAAATCAAAGTTTGGTTTCAGGTAAGTTATTCATTATTTTGGTTCAATATCAAATCAAGGACATCTATTGAAACGTTTCTTAGGCTGTATGGTTACAAGACACATTGATTACTGTGAATGTGTGCTAAATTTTATTTCTGCCAATGCCTTTTGGAAATCTAATTTGGTACACTCATATTAGCATTTTAAGTCAGTGAATATTAGTCTTTTATAATGCTTTAAAGTAACCATCAAATGAATATGTATACAATACAGTGGTAGGGTAGGATTGCTACAGTAACAGTTTCTTAGTGTAGGGAGTTAAATCAAAGACCTTTGTATCAGATTGCTCTTTGTATTGCAGCATTGAATTTACGAGTTCCAGTTTATATGGTGCTTGATTTGATTGTGCAGTAGCCTCACATGGAATTCTATGACAGTGTTTAGGTCAACCCATTGCAAATCATTATTTGACCTTAAACTTCTGCACCCAATGTACTGGTATTTTGTGCTGAATCAATATTATGTTTCTGTTTTTTTTTCCCCCCAGTTGTCTTGGTGGGCTCGATAACATTAAACATCAGAATGAAATTGACCTGTTTGAAGCAATTGATCAAAATGTAAGATTTACTGTTATGTCACTGGTGCTTTTCTTTGGTTTCACTTGCAGTGGTGCTTCTGTGATAAGATAATGACTGTTTCTTTAATGTTCATATAGGAATCCAAACACAAACGTACAGATCGATCTGTGTTGTGCTGTTTACGGAAGGCGGAGTCTGGGAAATCGTGGCCAAGGCTAACGAAACAGAAAGAAAAGGTGAGACTTTTGTATATATTGATGTCCTATAGAAGACCAAATCATTTGTAGTTGTAATGTACTACCAGTAAGTCTCCAACAGCTTTTGTACACTGAAATTGAAAAACATTTAATGTATTCTTCTCTGCAGTATATAACCCCTAACTGCTAATTATTCTTACCCTGCCTATATCTGTCTCGGAGGGTTGCTTGGCTTTGTGTTCTGAATATTGATGGGAGTGGAAAGTAGTTTCACTCACTGATTAAAATTGACATGATTTTCTTGTCAAATGTAAAACCTGGGTTCTCAGCATACTTGTGCATCACTCCACAATGTTGTGTGAAATTCATTTCTGTTCCACAGATCAATTGGCTCAGTGTTGACTTCAACAACTGGAAGGATTGGGAGGATGATTCAGATGAAGAGTTGTCTAACTTTGACCGCTTCTCTGAGGTATGGGGATAGTTGACAGTTTTGCTGGTGTAAGAAGGTGGATTTTTTTTTGTTTATTATTAACGGTCTTAAGATTTATGAAACTTCTTTATGGTGACTCAATGATGACATTACACATATTTCTGATGTAAAGGTATACCTTCATTTAAATGATACTGGCGATCTGAAAATGCCATGAAGAAATTTAAGGAAAGTGTTTCAGAATATTGAGTGTGTGTAATGTTTGCAGATGATGAACAACATGGGCGGGGAGGATGACCTACCAGAGGTGGACGGGGCCGACGATGTATGATTTACTTTACATTTTTACTGTTTCTTTGTGTAGCTATCACTTTTGTATTGTATTTATTTACTATTAATTTGTATTGTTTTTGAAATGGTCATGGTAAACGTGGTTAAATATTGTTTGGCCATGTTTCCAGGTAGTCTGTAATGAGATTCCTCCTAAAGCATCCCAGTATGCGACGTACTCAGTGTTTACAGCTGGGGAAAGTGTTTCAGCTACAGTTCCAAAACCCATATATATATATATATATATATATATATATAT